CCACTCCCCAGCGCTAGCATCACTGCCTCAGCTCCACCTCAGATCAATCGGCATTAGATTCTCATAGGAGCACCAGTCCCTGGTGCCAAAAAGGTTGGGGACCACTGCTCTAGAAGATGCAGTTCCACCCCGACCACTGCCCATTTCCCAGAAGGCCAACTGAGGCACATTTCTCTAACCCTTATCCCTCTCCTGGCCTCACCATCTCGAAGGAACGTGTCAGCGAAGTAAAGGCAGCGAACCACACCCGAGAGAGAGTCATCAGCTGAGCGGGGCTCAATGCGGCGCTGAACAGGTGTCATCTCCACGTCGTGGGGGCAGCCTTGCTCTGCCAACTGCGCGTTGGCCTCCTGCAACTGGAGAGCCATGGGGCTCCAGGACACTGTCATTTCCCACAAAGCCTGGTACCCGATGTCCCATCACCCTCCCCAGCTCACCCTGATATCCGGGGGCTGGGGGCTGCCGAGGGATAGATGAGAAAAGGTGAGCAGACACTGGACTCTGGGCAAGGGCCCAGGCCTGGCTCTATATCTGTACAGCAAGATCTGGAGAGGCGGCATCTAGCAGCCTGGCCCTAGCTCACCTTACTGTTGGCATTAGTGGCCCGCTTCTTGCCTGAGACTCGGCTCTTACGGATACGCCGGAAAGACTGGCGCAGCGACTTCTTGAGCGATTTCACCCGGGAGAGTGGCCCCTCCATGGCCAGGGAGTCATTGGGGTGAAGGGTGCACCTGGGGGCAGACAGGTGCCAGTTGTGCTATGGAGCAACCTCCTGGAGCAGCCTCCATGTTCCTGCTGGCCCCTGGCCAGGCATTAAGGATCCTAGATAAAGAAGCTCAAGCCCCTCTCTGCCACTCCATCAACCCAGCAGCTGGTAGGCTTAGAATGCCACCAGTAGCACATCACGTAAGGACAAAGCTGCCAAAGGGAATAGAGCCACCTTCACCACACCAAGTCTTATAAGGGAAACTGAGGCTTAGGTGGGTGTGGGGAAACACCAACGGTCTCATAGAAAGCTAGGGCCAGGTGGAGGTACAGACCCCATCTCCCCAGGCTCTGGGCCTGCCCCACCCCACACCTGGCCAGCACAGGGCTCTTGCGCTGGTAGTCAAAGAGGCCAAAGCCATGACTGGTGCCAAAAGCCACAAGGTTCCACTCAGTGTGGAGAGTGACAGCGGTGATGGCAGCTGGTGGCAGGCACTGAATCAGCACTCGGGGCTGGAAGCCGGTGGGCCAGGGCAGGGGCCCCGTGCGTGGACTCAGCCGCTCGTGGCCCTTCCATGTGAAGCCCTCACGGTCCTGGAGGAGGTCCACACTGGCCATGCTGACTGCCTGCTCTGATGGCATGTCGCCGAGCTCCAGTATCAGCACCTGAGCCCGAAGTCAGGGAGAGGAAGGAGTCAGCATGGAGGGTGGGGTCACCCATGCCCCACTTGAGCCTGCAAAGCCACTGCCAGGTGGTTCCACGACTGTCTCCAGTTCATCCACCGAATAAGCACTTACTGAATATCTATCTATTGTGCACTAGGGCCCTCATTGAGCACTGAGGAACACAGTGGTGACAAAGACCCACTGGTCCCTGCCCTCCTGGAGCAAAGTACCCCACCACCATCACACCTGTCTCCCATTTAGCAATAAACACACACTGAGTACCTTCTGTATATTGTGTAAGTGCTGGGGGCACAATGACCAAGACCCACTGGTCTCTGCCCTCCCAGGGTTCATCTAACACCTGTGCTCCCACCCAGCTCCAACCCTGCATGGTTCCCTAGAGCCAGCGCCTGGACTCAAGGCCCCAAAGACAGGCCCTCCCTGACTGGCCTCACCCCAGCCAGCCCCACCTGAGGCCTCATTATTTCCACCTCTGGGCTTTTGCCCATGCAGGTCTCTCTACCACTTCACTAGACCCTCCAGTTCAAGGCCTTGAAGGAGTCTTGGAGGACTCTTCCAGAAAGTCCTCCAAGACTCCATCCCTGGGGTTACCTCAAGCCTACCTGGCCTGCAGTGCCAGCCACCACCATCTGGGCTGTGTACTTGCAGAGTACCACCTTCTGCACACCAAGCCGGGGGTCATCACTGTAGGGGTCAAAGCAGCCCACCTGGGGAGTGGGATGGAGTAAAGACATGGGGCAGAGCCAGGGCCAGGCTCTGCAGGGCCAGGGGAGGGGCCCACCTTTCGGAAGGGCGGCCAGTCATCCTCAGCAGCCTGAGCCAGGCTGTCAGTGTGTTCGCAGTCTGTCTGGAAGAGGCCAGCTGTGCTCAGCTTATAGAGCGGTCGCAGCGCTACACCAGAGGCATCCCAGAACCGCACAGTGCCATCCTCATGGCTGCAGGGAAGGTAATGTCAGGCTCAAGCCAGGACCCTGCATACTTCTCCACTCCACTCATCCAGTGACCACTCAACTGAGCACCTACTATATATGCCAAACACTGACCAGACTCATACTGCATCTAGCAAATAGGAAGCATATACTATATAATGTAAACATATACTGAGTGCCTAACTATATGCCAAGCCACATGCACCTGGACCCTTCAAACAGGGTGAGAAAGTATGGAAACAATCACCAGCATGATGAACAAAAAATGGAATGGAAGGTAATCTAAGGAATAAAGGACTAGGGAGTTCCCCCGCTGGGACATCCAGAAAATGTAATCAGAGTTAGCTGGCCACAGAGCAAAGGGATCAGCTGAGGCATGAGGCAACCATGCAGGCAGGGCAGCAGGAAAACTGGGAGGCCAGGAGGAAGTAAGGAGAGGAAGGGAGGGAAGGAGAAAGCAAATCTGGGGTAGAGCCTCAAGTGGGAACCCCTGGTATGAGGAGTCTGTTGGGCTGGATGGGAAACCTCCAACAGCCCCAAAAGCCACAGTTTTTAAACAGGTGAGGGGATGCAGGTGTCAGAGACTCAAGGGTCCCAGCACAAGCAGGCAGCAGGGGAAGGGCAGGAAGTTGAAGCCTGAGTCACTTGGCATGTCAGCGCCCGCCAGGCCCAGGCTGGGCTCTCTAGCACCTGCCCTGGACCAGCCCATATTTTCCAGTCCCAGGGTAGGCTCGGTGGGTGGAGCTCAGTTCTAAGCCAAAAGGCAGGGCAGGGAGGGGTCTAGGGAAGCTACATCCAATCCACCCAGCTAGAGTGACTGGGTCCCACCAGGAGCCGAGCCTGAGTCACTAGGCAGGTCAGTGCCTGCCTGTCCTAGGCTGTGCTCTCCCACACTTGCGTGGGCTACACCAGGCCCCACTTGCACACGCATGCACGCACACACACATTACAACTGTGCTTGGCCATGGGACTTAAGGTCTGCCCTACCCGGTCAGCAGCAGACCTCGCTGCGATGGCTCCTGGGCCAGGTTCTGGCCCCCAGTGATGGGCCAGCTCTGGGAGAGGGAGACAGAGATATCAGTGGAAGGTCAGGACAAATGTCTTCTGCCCCTCATCCTGAAATTTGGCATCTAGGACCCAAGCTACTTCTGGGTCCCTGGTGTACACCTACCATATTCCCACCTCCAAGCCTGTGCCTGAGCAGTGCCCTTCACCGGGAATACTCTCCCTCCCCAAGACCCCAAACTACAGTATACCCGAGCACACACCGAGGCACTAGAGGCAAGTGGGGGGCTCTGCTGCTCGCCAGCGCTCACGATACGGGACCACAGTTTGGCGGGGACGTTGGCGACATGGGCTGAGCAAGTAATAGCGGATGAGTGCAGTGGAGCCAGGTACGGAGCAGGCACGGCTGGCCAGCCAGGTGTTTGCAGGTCTAGTACCACCAGCTCTTCTTCGAGCAGCACGGCCAGGGCCTGGGGCTCGTCAAACTCTGTGAGATGGGACGGGGTGAGCACAGCCACAGGTGGCACTGGGCACAGGATAGGGGAAGGCAGGGCACACACCATCCTCGGGCCGTGTGCTGTGCACCGTGAAGAAGTCAATGATGCGAGAGGTGAAGTCCAGCGTCACCAGAGTCTCGGCCCGGAGCACACTTACACAGTGGCGGTCGCCATAGCTGGCACGGGGCATGCCACCACTGAAGATGATAAAGTGGCCCCTATACAAGGGCAGGGGAGCCACATGAGCCACCTGGGCCTGGAGCGAATATTGCCCAACCCAGCTGTGCCCCAGAACCCGCCCTCCACTGCCAGCCAGATAAAGCCTCCAACCCACACGTGAGACCCGGCTCCCCACCTACCCAGATTCACAGTTTCGCCACAGAATCTTATTGATGGCTTTGCAGGGGAAGGGGCCTGAAGGAATGGGACAGTGTGTCAGGCTCATTTGTTTGCCCAGATCAGAAGAACCTCAAGTCGTTATCTCTCACCCTTTATCCCATTCCCGTGCTGGCCCCATCATTCTCTGCCTGGAAGTTGCTTCCTGCCTCCCCAAGGGGAAAGCCCGTTGCTCCTGACCATGACCCTGGGAAGGTGGGGGTGGAACTCGCCTTTGCAGATTTGGCTTGGCATTGCCGCCTTTCACAAGTCCTCCAGGATGCCCCCACAAAGGCCAGGAAACCCCGAGTGCCTGAGCTGGGATCACCCATCAAAACCCTGTGCTTCGGCGGTGGTGCTGCCCTCAGCCTGTCCAGCACTCACCGTAGGGTGTGGTAGCTACCATAGGCTGCGTTACTGGGGAGCTGCTGGTGTTCGCAGACCAAATGGCATAGCTGCCATCACTGTGTGAGCTGACCAGTGTGCTACCACTGCGCTCCCAGCAAAGGCTCTCCAGCTGCTGTGGGGCAAGGCAGAGGCATGAGCGAGGTGGCCATGAGCAGAGGGCCCCGGCTGTGAGCACGAGCCTCCCACACACCTGGTTCCCTAGGAAGACACGGTCCACACACTGTGCAGCCTGGTTCCAGATGACCAGCAGGCCCCGGCTGTAGCCGATGAGGATCTTGGTGGGGTCCTGCAGGCGTCCCTGGAGTGACTCCACAGGGCCCAGTGCCTTCCCACACCGGTAATCATCTGGCACGCTGCCAAGGGAACACAAGTGAGCTGGCAGGAGCACTGCCTAGGCACAGAGTGAGTGTGGGAAGTCCATCCGCCTCTCACCTTCGCAGAACCTCGTCAGGGCCAAGGGTCTGCCCCTCCAGCAGCATCAGGGTAGGAACATCCAGGAAGAAGACACTGCCACTCTCGGAGCCCAGAGCTGCCATGTCACCAGTAGCCACCAGCAGGACCACTGTGATGCGGGCAAGGCTGGGTGGGCCACTGAAGGAAATGAGGGGAGGTGGGTGAGGGTGTTAACCCATCCGCTGAGGAGGGGTGTAGAGAGTACTGAGCTGCTACTATTAGCTCATTATGGCCCCTCTGCACTCACTGGGGCCTGATTATCGAGTGAGCTGGCGAACCAGGAAGGCAATAATAGTGGTTGTGGGCATCATAATTAGCTTGCTCAATTATTCATCATTGTCAGCAGGGAGAGGGATAAAAATGGGTTCCCCAGGTCTTGGAGACCAGCTCCCCTTTCACCTACCAGGAGGGGAAGGCAGGAACCAGGCCACTGCCTGGGCCAGGACCAGGAGGTCCAAGACACAAGGTTTTCTCGAGCCCCACCCAGGAACTCTGCCATCAGCATTCTGGGTACCTCCCTGAGTTTGCGGGAAGGCCCCAGATCACCCCTTCCTGCACAGGCTGGGAGACCCCAGTAATCCACCCATGAACTAGCACTGAACACGGCTGTCACCTAGCACCCAGCAGGAGCAGAACAAGCCTCTTGCTGAGCTGAAGACAGGCATTCTGCAGCATGAAGAACTTGCCTACAGTGGCCATTTCTGTGAGGACCAGCAGGGTCAGGGACCGAGAGGTCCCTTACACTCTCACATGGGTCCACGCCACGCCATTGCCCCCTGGGGCATCCTGTCAGGTGCCCTGTCAGCACCTCAAACAGCACAGCCCGACAGGACCCTCCTTGCCCCAATCTGTCTTTTCACCTGTGTGCACTGTAGCCCGTTGCCCCACCCCCAGCTTAGGACACTAGGGGATCTTTGCTGATGTCAGCTCAGCTAAGACCTGCCCCATAGCCCCAGACACCTATATCATTGCTAGAAATACAGGGCCATGCATCAGGTAAGAGAAATCTGGGACACAAGGCACACTCTCCCATTCTGCATCGCCTGGTGCCCCAGTGGTCCTGTAGTACAGACCCCACATACTCACCTTGGGTTCAGCTGGAATTCCCCTTCTTCTAACACCCGCCAAGTCCACGTAGTACATCTCAGTGAACCAGGTCCAAATGCTGCTTTCTGGGGACCCAGGCTCAGCTCAACATACCCCACAACCCTGAACCCCAGCCCTAGGCAGATTCCCATTCTTACTATGCCTTTGCAAAGCTGACATGCCCGGAGCTGGTCCCCAGCCACTAGTACCTGGAACCATCAAAACCCGGCCGACTGGGTGGCTGGAAGCTGAGTGCTTCCTCCAGGTGGGCACAGCCATTATGGTGGACGATCTCCCACAGATGCAGGCTGCTGTCATCTAACAGGGTCAGGAGGCGGCCCTGGTGAGTGAGCAGAGACCAAGACTGGGCTGGTGGGGCCTGGGAGGGGGCCTGGGGGCCATGAGCCAGCTGACGGGGGCAGAGGCTCACCTGACCAGGCAGGAAGTGCATCTGGGTGACAGTGGCCATGTCTGGGTGCAGGCCTGTGAACTCCACACCAGGTGCACCATAGCTGAGGGTGACAGGTCAAGGGCAGGTACAGGCCAAGATACCCAAGCTTTCTCCTCCTCTAGGACCATTCTGATGGGCCCCAACTAGGCCTGCTTATTCAGGAGCCCTCCAAAGTCCATGTAGGCTCTCTCCCTGAATAAGCACCAACTTGCAACCCCAAGGTGTCCCCAGGCTCAGAGTAGAGGCTTCACTCAGCTCTTGCAAGTCATGCTGTGGCATGACCTTCACTTCCTCATCTGTAAAATGGGGTAGTGACTCCCACCTCGTAGGGCTAACACAGGACAAGTGAGAATAAAAACTTCTAGTACACTTGGCCCAGGCCTGGCACACAGCCAGGGCTCTGCTCTTTGTCAGTCTCGCATATGTCTGTGTGCACAAGAGCCAGTCCTGCAGGCTGGATCACACAGGCAGAGAAGCCAAGCAAGGCCTGGGCAGGGAAGCCTAAGGCAGAGAATCCAGGCTGTCCCTTCCCATAGCTCCAGGCTCCACTTCAGCCATAGGCAAGGAACCCAACTTCCCTCTGGGGCAGAAAGGCAGCCAGCAGCCCTTACCACAAGGTAGGAGAGGCTACAGCCTGCCCATGAAACAGACCAGCACACAGAGGCTTAGACAGGTTGGGTGACCTGCTTCAAGGGTCAGTGTCAGGGTCCCAGCAACTCCAGGTTTGACAGTGGATGGGCGGGGCCTAGGGGGCCCTCGGAAGGAGGGCAAGGAAGGGGTCAGCAACGTTGCCTGGGGACAACGCAGGAGCCAAGCCGTTGCTTGGAGCTGGAGTTGGGATTCTCTGCAGGAACTGGAAGAACACAGAAGAGAGGACAAAAGAGAGGGCAGGAGCACTGGGCAGGAATCGGAGTCACCAAGGAGATAAGACAGCCCTGAGGGGGAGGGGCAGCTTTTGTGTCTAGGTCCCTCTTCTCCAGCCTCAGTTTCTCAAACAAGGGGTCCAAAGTTTCCCAACCCCGGGCTCCAGGCTAGGGTAGTTTGGGGGAAGAAGGAAGGGGCCAGGGAAGAGCTCTGGCCTTCTCTGAGGCTGTCTCCTAGACTGTACAACAGGTTCTTTTTGAGGAGCCAGTGCCCAAGAAAGACTAGGATACCAGGAGGGCCAGCTCGAAAAGCTAACAGAGACACATAGCATGGAGTACTTTGAGACACTGACTTCAGGGATACAACACACATGAAGAGCAGGACAGCACCTCAAGGGGCGGGGACAGCAGGCCAGGAAGTGGGCGCCCATGGGAGAAGGGAGCATCAGGCCCAGCCACACCCCCAAGAGTAGGCAAGTTTATTAACTGCAGGCCCAGATGCACACTCTTGCCTGGTCATTGCTCCCAGCACTCCTCCCCTCCTGTTTACTGGGGATAACTCATTTTGTGTCAACCAATGTTCCCAATGAGGATACTGAGACCCAGAAGGTCACATGGGGAGGAGTGGAGGTGGGCACCCCTCACCAAGCAGCTGCCAGACACTGTACCTCAGTTTCCCTGAGTGGGGGGCTTCACTTCAGGCAGTCGGGGTGAGATGCTCCACGGCAGGCAAGAAGGCATTCAACTGTCTGCTTGCCCCCACCCCACCCCCACTCTGCACTTGCAGGGAAAATGCCTGCTTTGTGCGGCTCACATGGCCCATTGTGTAGCCGCCAGCATCCAGGTGGGGGCAGAGCCATACTCACTATGCCGAGCCTGGCACTGCCTCCAGCCCTTGGCTGAACACAGGTCTCTTCACATTTGCACATGTATATATAACCAGTCGCCATGGCAAAGCCGGCTGTGTGACCCTGGCCCACCCACCACCCTCAATAGGTACCTCAATTGGCCAGCCCCAGGCCCAGCCTCCCTAGTCACAGTTGCTGGGATGATGGATCGCAGAGACACCTAGGTAACTGGCTGGCTGAAATGCAACAAGGGACAGCTGTGGCCACTGCAACTGAGCCTCCCCATTATCTCTTTGAAGAGGTATCCCAGGGCAGAAGCTGTGCTATCCTCCACCAGGATCCAGGCACCTACCACAACCTCCCAGGCTGGGCCCTACCCAAGGAGCCCAGCACACTGGGAGCTGCAAGCAGGTGGTCCTCACAGCCCCAAAGGCCATGGCCCACAAAGGATACATCTTGACGGCCCCAGACCTGGTGCCAATGGCCATGATGCGAAGCTCGGGGTCGAAAGCCAGGGCGCTGGGCTGGTTGGGGAAGCCATGTTCCACGGTCTGTGGGAGAGGGAAGAGCACTTGCACAGGCACAGCTGTCCTCTCTGGCCTACCAAGGCCTACCCCAAGGCGCCTTTTAGGCTCTGCTGCTGCTGCAAATTGGGACTCAAGCTGGGGCCACCTGAGCTCTGTGTCTGTTTGTGTCTTCAACTGTGAAATGGGCAATCACCAATCCAGTCTGTATGGAAGGATTTGAAGCTTTGGGCCCCACTAGAGGCCCACCCCTGGCCAAGTCCCCATACCTCTCAACACCTGTATCCATCCCATTATGCCCAGGGTTCTGACAACAAACAGAAAGAACAAGGTTCAACAAGCTGCAGGCTCAGAAGTGGACCCCACCTGCCCCAGAGGGCGGAGCTCCACGCCCCATTCCTAGAGGCGCAGACAGAAGCTTGATGAGGTACCATGCTACCAGGGATCCCCCATGAAGAACATGGCACTCCCCAAACACAGGCCCTGTGTGGAGGTCAGAGGCCAACACTCAAAGTCATCTAGGCAGAGGCTCTAGACACCTCCCACAGAGGGCTCTATGCCCAACCCCCAGACTCAGAGACAGGGAGACTGAGGCCCAAAGAGGCTTCCTGCCCAGCACCTGAAGGTGTCATCCACTTCCCAGACTTGGGTTCTCCAGCTGGAAACTGAGCAACATAATTCCCACCCCACCAATGGTGGGAATGGTGTGAAGAGGACCTGTGTACTGGTGGTGTTGATGGAACGACTCCCACCTGGTCCTCTGCCCTTGGCAGAGCCAGTCCTAGTGCAGAGTGGTCCTATCCCCACCAGCTTGGCTTGGGCTTTCCTCCATTGCCCACCTACCCAAGGCGCTCCTATTCATCCCCTGAGGCCTAGCTGGGGGTCCCTCCCCTGGGAAGCCTGTACCCCCAGCCCTCTGTCCTCAACACCAATGTGGGATACCACTTGTGGGCCACCAAAACCTCCTGACTACTGCCTTGGCAAGACACACATTCTATAAGAAACCCTGGTTCCAAGGCCTCCCTCCTGCCTAAGCCCATCCAGAGAGGGACCGAGCCTTCTGGACACCTGGTTTGGCCTTGGGCTAGTCACAGCACTCTCTAAGCCTCAGTTTCCCATTTGAGCACTGGGGGCAGTGCGTCCACCTGAGGACATAGTTGTCCATTTGGCTGGACAGCTTCTCTTTCCTACCAGCGCTGCCATGCCCATGCTGGACCTGTGTCTGCATAGTCTCCCCTCTTCTCAGGACACCCCCATCTCCCCAGGGCTCCCAACTAACTCAGTCAAAGCCACGTCCTCACATCTGGCCCCTCTCCTCCTCCCACTCTCCCCCAGCTCACTTGACTCCAGGCCCAGTGGCCTTTTGCTCTTCTCCAACATACTAGGCAGGCTCCTGCCTCAGGGCATTTTCTTCTGCTATCCCTCTACCTGGAATGCGCTCCATCTCTCTCACTGTTCAGGAGTCAACTCCTCAGAGGAACCCCGCAAAGCCATACTGGCTATAGCAACCATCCCATCCACATGCTCCAGGCCTTCATCCTACTTTATTTTATCCACAGCACTGGCTACCATCCAAACTACTGCATATTTTACTCTTTTGTTTGAGCTTTTCACTGTCTCTCCCACTAGGACATCAGCCCCCATAGTGAAGATATATTTATCCCTTTTGGTTACTTCGGTGTCCTCAGCACCTAAAAGAACTCATACAGTAGGAGCTCAGTACTTGTTGACATAGAGTGGACATCCCATAGACAACTTGTAGGCAGGATTGGGATATGGACCCAAGACTGAGTCCAAAGTCCATGCTTGCCCCTCACCTGCCCCACCCACTAGGGAATCTAGGGCCTATTCTCTAGTGATCACCTACTACTCCCTCTGGTGAGCAAGCCCCTCCTTGCCCATGATTAGCCCCTCCCACCACTGCTGCCCACTCAGAATGGAACCTCTCTCTCCTTACTGGAGAGTCCTCACCTTGTGCCAACCCAGGGCCAGCCAGGGGGAACTGAGCCTCTCTCTACCATCTGTCTCAGGTTCCTGCTTCCAAATCATTGGCTAAGGAACTGACACCTTAGCTGAGTGCCTGCCCTCATCATTCTCTCATCCCACAGGGGCTCACCATCACAGCTACCCAGGACAGGAAGGGGGCCACGTGGAAGCACCTGGGCACCAGCGTTCACCCTAGGCCCCACAAGCCTCTGGCAGGTTCTTGACCACTGAGTCTGAGGGTCCTGGCAGCCCCCCCCACCCCCGCGACCATCACCATCTTGGAAATCCTGCCTGCTCCAGAGATGTGCTGGAGTGCCCCAGCCACTATAGATCCAGTATTCCAGAGCTTCCTCCTGAACAAGAGTCTCCTCTTGGACCACAGCAGCCCCTCAAAGTTAAAGTCAAAAGCCATCAACAAAAGGATACAAGGACAAAGTGCCCCACCTCCATCTGTGACTTTAGGCAGGTCACTGCCCCTTTCTGACCTCAATTTTCTCACCTGTATGATGGGGATAACAACTTAGATCACCCAAGAGCAGTGAGGGGCTGTACAATCAGAGGGCTTTGAGGCCAGAATCAACAACCTGGGAGAAGTTAGCAAGGGTCAGGCTGGGGGCTCACGCTACCACATATCAGTGCAGAGGGAGGTGGAGACTGAAGGTTGCCCGTTTCCCATGGCCCC